CATGGGCCCTTTAAGTAGCTCAACGTACATGTAAGGAACGTTATAATTATATGCAGGCCTATATACACTACATAGGCCAATTTCTACAACCTTTTGTACTAATAAACTCTTTCAACTTCAAAGCTATATGTTAAAGCCCGCACATTAACCAGATATCATCAAATGTCTCAATAGTATTACCTTGTAACTCTGAGTTGATACACCTAATAACCCATAGGCACTAGAATATAGTCAAACAGTACATTGGAGTAGTCGGTCTTCCTCGACGAAAGAAAAACCCGAAGACTCGACTACCAGTTATCTGATGACAGGGCATGATACAATACAATGTACACTGTGGATTTCAACACAAGGCGACCGTTTTCGTTTTCCTATAATCAGACCGCTTAAAGAACAGCTTTTCCTAGATGATCAACGGCATCTGAATCGCGACTTCATTTGTTTGAAAACCTCAGTAGCTGCTTTACGGTAGCCCTTACTGGTAACGATATACACGATGCAGTGCCACCATGTCACACTACATGAAAGTAGTATGTTAATACTAAAGAACGTAGTGCTGGTCTTTATTTCGCTCAAGATCACTATGACGATGATAAACATGGGACACCAACCTATAAAGACCACACAGTTCAACAACAAGAGCGTGATGAAGGAACGCCTGGCGCGAAAACGTCCTCGCGGGGGTTCGTTTCTCTCTTGGCTAGGCGTGACATCTGGTACATGCCGTAGACCTATAGCTATCTTTCTAAGCTGCCTCCTTGTGATGATTATGGTGTGGATACTTGTGAACAATGTCACTATAGTTGCTACAGAACAGTAGAGGAGGAAGAAAGCATGCACAGTTACGGTAACATAATCGTCCTGGGGGACACCATTGTTGCACATAATGTCATAAATTTGTCCACTAGCTGTTCCGGGAAACGGAAAGAAAGCAAGGGATGAGATTAGGATTACAAGCGTGCATACGGTGACAATCACTTTAGCTCTCCTTATCGTCATGAAGATCTGATACCTTAAGGGTATCACAATCATCAGGTATCGATTTAGATTCAGGCACGTGGTTAGAATGATGGCTTCAAATGAACTTGGATACGAAACGGAACTGATATACTTGCAAATGAAAAACCGCAAGGCCGTTCTTGGTAGAAATTCCTGGAGAGGTGTTACAAGAGACATGCATGTACCAAGGAGAAGGTAGGTACAGGTCAAGGCATAGAGCAAAACCTTGGTTATATCATCAAAGTCGTCTTTCACACGATTTAAAACGCAAAGGGTGAACAGATTCCCCAGCACACAAAGCGGTGCCTGTGCTATAAGTGCGCCTTGGGGCCACGCAATCGACGGAGTATATTGAGTCCCATATGATTGTGTTGTGGCAAGATCCGATGGAACGTCTTCAGAAATATTGGTAGCCATGGTCGTCAAACGGGATGACCTACGTTGAGCAAGAGGAATTGTTGGAGCAGGTAAATGATGGTCCTTTTAAGCTCTTAATAATCGAAATGCTCGTTCGACTGAACCAACAAATGGGCATAGAATGCTCTAGTCTTCGGCTCACAATCACTGCTCCTTAAATGACTCGTTTTAACGGAGAGTCAATGTAAGAGAAACTCGGTCGTCTGCAGGTCGCAATAGAGCGCAAGGCCACTCGATGTACCAGTAATCATCTATCTCTCATTGATGTTTTGAGCCAAAGCCATTACGGATCATCAATTGCATTTTGGTAGAGTTAATTAAAGTTGGTCGATCAAAGCCATAATGATTATGAAAGTGCCAATCATTCTAGCTGACATGAAGTATCCAGCAGGCTTTATTACAAACACGTTTTAAGTTAAATTTAGTACATGTAACGTGTCTTTACTCGGTAAATGAAAATATGAAAACTGTCTCATTTTAAAGGAAGCGGGGATCATTCAAAAGAAGTGATATTTGTCCGATCAATCACTATAAAATATCCATAATAACAATTCATAATCCGTCAATTTATCAAGGCGTTGGAAATGTTAAAATTAAATTACCTAATGGTGATTAATATTATCACAAAGCGGGTGGCATCTAAACTACTAGTAGTTGTGACAAGGCGTTGTGGCGTGCGCCTGTAATCCAGCTAACAGTGGAAGTTACAAACTGATTTAGGCGAGGACGCAGGTTCGAAACTGATTCACGTCTTTCGGATGGTGTCGTTTAAAGATCGGTCCGCAGACGTAAATAATCATATCTGATTGATACACGTCTGTAAAAACCCAATATACACACAAACACACACACCTACTCACACACACACGCGCACACACACACACACACACAAAAAAAATTATTCAACACACAAAAAATATTCAACTGTTATACATATTTGCCCCGTAAATCATGGGTACCTTGAAGGCACAATGTCCCTTTTGCAGCCTTCATCAAATTATGTAAAACTTTGTAGCCGGGAGTTCTGAATATGTCATGTAAGTCCTATCTGTAAAATGTAAACATTAGCAGTGTCCTAGTATTCAGACTAGAGAAGGAAACCCGTTTACCTTTTAGACTTCACTGCCAGACACTATTGGATGACTAACTGACATCTTTCTTCTTTGCGGGTAATAGCATACATAAACTGAGCTGTAACAGGTACATGAGCATTTGTCTACATCAATAACTCAGTACGTGTATATGGTTAAAGTTAAACTTATTGAATCTTTATGCAGCACCCAATGTGCGACCATCCAGTAAAAGGGTCCGAAAATCAGACTATTACTTAGGTGATTGCAATCACTTAAGTCGATTCGACATATAATGGTCGTTATTTTCCCACAAAAAGCCATTTTCAAGCCCTTTCGTTTCGAGGGAAGTTCTAAATTAGTACTGTCTTTCAAATACCGTTGGAATTAAACCTTGTCATTTATTTTGTCCTGCAAATGGGACATAGTACCTTTAATCACCTTCATACTATTGAAGGCAACGAAATCTAGGATATGAAATCTACTTATTCCATATAACTTAAATTTGTACCGAGTATACAGAAAAAAAGATACCCCTGCAAGCTCCGCTGACAAATTCAAACAGACAAACGGGCCATCCCTATCGCCCTAGAACCATGACATGAAATTGTTCAATTTGTTTTTACTGTTAGAAGTAGCAGTAGTAGTAGTAGAAGTAGTAGTATTAGTAGTAGTAGCAGTAGTAGTAGTAGCAGCAGCAGCAGCAGCAGCAGCAGTAGTAGTAGTAGTAATAGTAATAGAAGTAGTAGTAGTAGTAGTAGTAGAAGTAGTAGTAGTAGTAGTAGTAGTAGTGGTAGAAGTAGTAGTTATAGTAATAATAGCAGTAGTAGTAGTAGTAGTAATAGTAGTAGTAGTAGTAGTAGTAGTAGCAACAGCAGCAGCAGCAGCAGCAGTAGTAGTAGTAGTAGTAGTAGTAGTAGTGGTAGAAGTAGTAGTTGTAGTAGTAGTAGTAGTAGTAGTAGTAGTAGTAGTAGTAGTGGTGGTGGTGGTAGTAGTAGTAGTAGTAGTAGTAGTAGTAGTAGTAGTAATGGTAATATTTGGCAAAGACAACATCAAACAAACGGTGAATATAATACGATAAAGTGTGAAGTGAGTCGCATTGATGCCGGGAAAAGAAAACAAACATATTGACAAAATAACTGTTCACCGAAGGTCTGCTATTTACATCCGATTTTCTTTACATGAAAAGCACAAAAGCACGATGCAAAAACTTATAAATTGTAAGTATAATATAAATAGATATAGCCGCTCTGTGTAGACGTAGTTAGGCACCAGACGAACGAAATACATTGTACACATGAACCGAAGATTGTATGTACGCAGGAACCTGAAGAGGGCGCTGTGCAACTAGCGTAAACAATGGCTACAACTAAAACGAATCCTCAATGTTTCAGATTGTAATGAACTGCAGAAATGTTCAAAAGTGTTTGAAAATGCATACCATGCAACAGAGATACTAATTTGTCCTCCCTACGAGCGGTTTAAATACTACTACATAAAACCTACAATAAAAAAAAAGTCATGTAATTTCATGTAATTTGACACTATTTAAAAGATACGAATAAGGAATAAAATAACATACCCTATCATGATTAAAAAATATAATATTGGTATGTTGACAAATTGCAGAAATGGAAAACCAAAGATTGATAAACAAATTAAAACCAAATGTGTTGATTTTGGCAGCTGTTCCAATAACATCGATTGGTAAATGGGTGTAATAATCGGGAGCGCCAGGAGGGACAAATCTGACTGACATGAGCGCTATACAAGAACCCATTATTATTATTATTATTATTTCTGTTTTTATAATAAAACCTTTCTATAAAGGTCTTACAAAGGAAACAGACAGTTTGCCTCTGTAGGCGTTTATAGATAGGTTCTACACTTGACAAAACCTGAGTGGAGATGGATGTTTTCTTAATGTCAATGACTTCGGGAGGTTCAATACCCTCTTCCGATCTTATTATGAGCAACTTAAATCTGCATTTACCAATATGTCCGCCAAAGACTTTAAAGACACTTTTTGGTTTTGGTTTTGTTGATTCTGTTTTCTCTCTTTTTTTCGTAATACCTGCCTTAATGAAAACATCCCTCCCAATGTATCGGTGTCATTCAACTAATAAAAGGCTAGTACACTTTTAAACGATAATGAAAATTGATTTATGCCTTTATAAAGTCCATTAAAAATTGGCAAATATATCTATCTTCATCTTTCAAAAATCCGCAGGCAAAGAAGTAATAACTATAAAACTCTTTAAAGTCAGTTATTGGTGTCACTGACACAATGCAAGCTGTTAAACAAATTGTTTTAAATGTTTATCATTTGTCTAGAAAGAAAAGAAAACGAAATTCCGTGGGTATTTCGCGAGGAAGGCATAAAAGATAAGGGACAAATCTGGAAGTTCTAGATAAAACTGTCTTCAGAGTACTACATTTATCATTTCCCCCGTTTGTTTCTGCAGTCGCCATTCTTGGTCAAGTATTTCAGACACGAAACCTTCATATTTTAAAATGGCCAACCCTGCATTCTGTGCTGAAGTAAAGCGAGTTCAGTGTAACACTAGCAATTACATGTGTGTATTTGTGTTTATGCTGTTATTCTCGTTTGTGGAACCGGAAGGAGAGCAGTGTCCAACATCATGTAAATGTTCATCTGCCTATGTCAACTGTCGCAATCAACTACGTACCGAGGTTCCGACTGCCAACATATCTCTTGAAATTAGGGGAATCGATCTATCTAGAAATAACATTCGTATGATCCAGACGGAATCCTTTCCAAACCTGACCAGCCTACAAAGATTGAACCTAAACCGCAACGCCATATCTATTATTGAACCACATGCATTTCAGCACATGTCGGCTCTTACCATGTTGTACCTGTCTAACAACCTCCTGACTGACCTGAGTTTTATGAGCCTTCTCCCGAAGATCTCCTTGATCGCGATTTCAAATTTAATCCAGTCATTGGCTATCAAGGATTCTCCCTTTGTGGTTTTCGATTCCCTTGACATATCCTTTAATTTCATTAGATCTTTTGCAGACAGTCGTGTTGTCATCACTGATCTATCTGCCGATTCATGCGGGATCAGGGTTTTTGACATACCAGAATCCCAGACAGCGTATGCTGTGCGTACGATCACCATGAGAAACAACTTCATCAGGTCTCTACCAGATCTAAGTGGTCTCCCCCGCCTTCAGCTTCTAGATCTGCAAAACAACCTCATCCAAAGAGCTGCCCATGTTATACCACACAAGCTCAAATCTCTATCACTTGACAACAACTCACCCAGCTCTCTTCCGAAGATCAGGCTTGGTCAAAGCCTCACAGTGCTCAAGATAGGTAGAAATCGCATCGAGTCACTTGTTGGGTTTGGTGACACTGACGCATTAGAGATCCTTGACTTGAGTAACAATTCTTTACAACATGTATCCCACATACCTATAATGGACAGACTTAAATATGTAACGCTTTCCCATTGTAATCTTCATGGTACACTAGAAGTTAACAAGACAATATTCCCAAGCCTCGTATATCTTAACGTTGCATACAATGATATTACAAATATTTCCGTACTAGAAACAAAGCGTCCAGATGGGATAAGTCAAAACTATGCTGTCATCAATTCAGTCTTCACTTTAAAACTGAGTGGGAATAGACTCAGTGATCTTAATTTTCTCAAATCTTTTCCAAATGTAAGAACCCTTGAAGTGGATGACAACGATATTTTGGCATTCAACCGACACAATCCCACATCCTTTCAACAACTGCATGTGCTATATCTTCAACATAATAAGATATCTGAGGTGGAACAATTCCAGAATCTGACTGACTTGCATATTGTTTCATTTCTCGATAACTATATTACTTACGTTAGTCCAACGGCTTTCCTGGGGTGTAATAATCTAGGAATACTTGTGTTTAATGATAACAGACTAGTTAAATTGCCAGCATTGACACAAATATTTTCAAACTTTTTTAGTCTCCACGTGAGAAATAATGAAATAAAAGAAGTTTTTCTTAATAATCTAGAGTTCAAATTCTTAACTTCAATTGATCTTTCTAGTAATGGGTTGACTAACATTACGTTAAACGGCGGTCTGGCTCTTACCAAGGTCCTGCTGCAAAACAACAATTTGTCAACATTTGACATGTTGGATCACTTACCAAGATTATCTATTGTGAATATGAGTTACAACCAGATATCCAACGTGAATACTTGCGAGTTTAATTCGAACACAGCAATTACATGTGTATTTGATGGAAATTTGTTGCCAGTTTTAGTTTTACCATATACATCCACCGTTCGATTTCTTTATGCCCGAAAAAATAGAATCGAAAACTTAACGAGAATTGTCCCTTTTGCGCAACATTCCGTGGCAAACGCTACTACTGACCACTTGGCGTGTAGGATAAAGGACTTATATCTCGATTCGAATTTGATTTCATACCTACCCTCGTTCATATTCGAAGGTTGTGATCAGCTCACGACCCTCTCCCTGTCTGATAATCCTATAAGTGTAGTTGAAATGAGCGTATTCCTGAATCTCCCTAAACTTGTATCACTGGCAATATCGCACACACTGATTCCTTACATGCCCTTTGAACAATTGCTCTCCAAACAAGGTAGGAACATGTTTCATTCGCTGTACATGGATAATGTGACCCTCTTCCATCGACGTGATGCCAGCAACGAACCACTTAATCTCACGTTGGCAATTGACAGTGAACTATTCCTACGATACAACTCCTTTATTCCCATTCCATCAATTAAAGCGATGCATGTTGCGGAACTAGATCTGTCATTTAATAACATCAACCTTCTGGAGCGAGATTCTTTCAAGTTGACACCAAGAATCTCGTATTTGAATCTCAAGGGTAATGCCATCACAAGCATACAAATGCATGCACTGAGATTCAACGTGCACCTTGTCTTGGTAAACCTCGAGGACAATCACCTTCAGGTCATCGGCCATGAAGCACTTGTGAAGATGGGCCACTTTGATCTCCTGCTCGGTAACAATGACCTTGTCAATATCTCACCCCTGACCCTGCCAGAAGTCTCTCGTTCCATCTCTTTCGATCCCAATCCTTGGCGCTGTGACTGTTCCCTGCGTCCATTGTACAGATGGTACATGCGTTCCAACGAAAACACGTTGACCTGTTGGACACCAATACATCTTCGAGGAAGGACCCTTGCCACACTGACGGATGAGGAGCTATGTCCGCTGATCAGGAACGTCAGCAACGAAAATGATATTTCTGGTGAAGAAGCGCCAGATATTCTAAGCAATGGGGCAAAGAAACTAGAGTTAAAGAAAGGTATTCAAATCCTTGCAGGGGTGCTGTTCATTTCGAGATTCCCTAGGCCGCGATTCGTGCAAGGTTGATCCTTCTAAAACCTACCAGTGATACAAATATGACGGTTAATGGAATTCAAGAAACAAGCCTAATTGAAAGTCTTCTTGTACCTCGGTATCGTGTGCTATCTTTAACCTTCAAGATAGAGTATGTCGTAGGGAAAGGTTGCATGTGAAAATAATTTTCAAGATACAAATACAAAAACTCAGTTCTTGATCTAGCTGCTGCAGCCTCTCGTGAAAAAATGGTTTACTAACATATTCAAACTTGATGCATACTTTTTAACAAATGTTGCTCTTGACAATGAATTTTTCAGTAGAAAATCTGTAGTTTACCTGTAGTGGAGGGGAAAATGGAAATAATAATTGTAATAATAATAGGCATTTCTATCTATCTAGAAATTCTATTTCGAGGCGCATTTATTATTACCCCGGCTTTAGCCTAGCTGCCGTATACAGCGCTCCAGCATTTCAAGGAATTAATTCCTGCCAGGTACCCATTTACATCACCTGGGTTGTGTGTGGCAAATGTAGATCAATGTAAATAATAACATGTACATTGATCTAGCCTTTTAGCTTTTTGTTTAATGTCGTTAATGTTATAAATGTTATTGAGCACTCTTCATCTAAATTAATTGTGAAAGAAAACTTGTGGCACTTATTGGGAAAGATTGATTAAGTAGTACAGTAAGAATTCATGTTTGTAAGCTGTTCTAGGTATTAGAATAGTCAAAATTGAAAGAAATTGAAGTCACATGTACTGCACACTGAAATGAATATAAAGACTTACATACATGTCTCAAGAAACTTTGCTCACAATTTTTATCCTATTTCTCATCATAATTATTTGAGATATGAGGGGATTTTATGAGTAATCCTTTTCATGGGATGTTTCTTCTAGTGTATGCCTTTCCAACATGAGAAGAAAGAGAAATTTCACAACTTATTTTATTATTTGCCCAAACCATGGACCTACTACGTTTTCTGTAAATAATTTCAGGTAATAAAATGGTCTCTTCCTGAACTATACTAGGCTGATTATTTATCTCTTTTTTCTTAAACCCGAACCGAACTGCAGTTGAATTGTTGTTGACTCGCACCAAGGTTATTGATACGGTTGTAATCCATATAGATGTTGCGTCTTCGCTATGTTTTTTTATTCATCAAGCATCGTTCATTTATCCATGCATGGCAATTTGAAATAATTTTAAATACAAAAAAAAACTAAATACAAAGAAAAAAATGTAATTGGATTTTAAATGCATATTATGTGGGTTAGGTGTAGGGAATTGGAGACCAATAATCTTGAACCAATCACTGTCTGTCTGTGTTGGCTCCAATATTGCTATTCTGCCATATGTGGCCTTTAACTATTATACTACTGCATATATCCAATTCATTTCGAAGACTACAATGCGTTCTTTCTCCGAGAAAATTGGCAAAATTGACCAAGATAAGCAATGTTGATATTATATAAAAACATAATTTTTCCCTGAATGTTGTGGTGTATGCAGAAATTCAGGGGTGGCTCTTAAAAATTAGTTTTAAAAGGAAGTTTATGAAGTGTGCCAACCAGCACATAAAACCTATGGCCATTGTGTGTTGTGATTGGGTGTTGCAATGCACATTATGAATGGTGTCTGATCAGAAACGTGTGTAGGCAATTGGGGACACCAGGTTCAAAATGGGGGCCTAATTTCCTCCAGTTGTTTATTTCATGTTGAAAGACTACCATAAAACATATTTGGTGGTTCGTGTCACCATTCTAATTTGAATGAATTTAAAAGGTTTTTAAGAAGTTGTTTCTATGCTGTAAGTTTGTTCAATGTAAAATTCACATTGCCAGAAAATTATTCTGAAAGTATTTAAACATAATTTAAAGCACCTTTAGTAAACAAAAAGCTACGGAAATATTTTTGGCCACATTGTTTTAAAATTGTCTTAAAATTACAGTAAGTTTATTTGCTGCATGTATCTCTTTCAAAAAGTGTTTGAACTAATTATAACAATTCCATTTTCATTCAAAATATATTTAAAATGCCTTGATTTGTAACTATCCCTTATTACCTACACATGTAGGTAATGAGAGACTTTTGGTGATGGCGTCATTAATCATTGATATCTTATTAATCAGTTACATTATGACCACAATTTTGTTGCCAAATAAAGAGAAGACGTTACTGAAGAGAATACAAATCTTTCTGTATGTGTAACATTTTTCATGTTTATGTAATTTATGCAAATGTGCTTAAGGGTCTCTAATTTCCAACACCTACCCTATTATGATGATGCTTTGCTCAAGGCAAATTCCATGATATAATTAGAGCTGATTGATATTTAATGTTGTTTCATTTGATATAGGCCTAATTAAGTTATTTCATAGCTTCATTACTTTAAAATATTTTGTGTGCTTTATCATATATAATATGTCTTGTAATAAAGGTGATATCAGTTTTGAAAATATAACATGTTCATATGAAGAAAATGTTACATAGCGGTTGTAGTTTTGTTTTTATATATACTTATGCTAGTGTCAACTTTGAGTATTGAATATACATTGAATATATTATAGCGTAGTAAATAAAAAAAAAAATTATTACAAATATCTTGTTTTTATAGAGATATACCATATGACCTTATAGTTAGGTGTTGATGGTATTGTCTTTCATAAATTGTAGGATACAGGATTTTATGGTTTTCTACTTGCTTGACTCACTATATAAAGGATGAAATATATACCAAGATATTAAATTGTTATTGCATTTTTTTTTGTTTTGAAAAGCTTCTATGAGGGAAAATGGTCTGTATCCAAATCTCGTTAAAGCGGGACTGCACTACTTGTAGCTACTTGCGCCTTCTATAAAGCAAATAATGCCCAATTGGTGACCGCTGGTCCCCAATCATGATGATCTCCCTTTTCTTATTTTAATTGAGAGCTGATTTGATGAAATAACCACCTGTCAGTGACCATGCTGGATGGTTTAATCCCTCCTGGTCAAACTAGTGCAGACGGGCTTTAAAGAGAAGATTGATTTCTGGTAAAGGAAAGAAATAATTTATTGTCTCTCTCGTTCTATGTATGTCGGTTTGGAGGAATATTATAGTAATATATCTCATAAAAATGATTGCTCTGAAAATGCTCCATCATTCGAAATAGAACTAGAAATAGCTGTATTTTTGGACCAACTAGTTCCATATACCTATTTCTTTGTGGAGTGTGTTCGACGGTCATTTAAATTTAGTCACTTGTTTTCACTTTGATTATTCCAAAACTTACACAGGACACAGTCTTATGTCAAACATAATTTTTTTGCAATGTAACTGTATGACTATAGTACTCACCTATATCTTTAAAATAGCTGAAGCAATGTGAAATATCATATTTCATGATGAATAAAATCACCATTAAAATATTCTGTAAGAGTGGTGCGTGTGCGTATGAATACATTTCAAGGAGTGGGTCTAAAAACTATTTAAATGATATCATTAAACGAGCAGGTAAAAGGACAAAGACAAAATTCATAATGTTTACAGACTCGTTATCAGAGAGATTTGTATGGTCGATATCATCAATTAACTAAAATACAAAATATTGAAAAAACGTCCGTTTCCATAGTAATAACAGGTTGTGCTGTAATATCAACTGACTGGAAGAATAGATGATTACGGATGAATATTGTGCTCTCACGATTTCAATGAATTACACTTATCTAAATACTAATCATTCATTTCTCGTATGGGTTCTGGTGTTGATGCGTACCAAAATGAGAAAGTTTCTGTGGATTTTGTTGAGTACTTGTGTTTGGGCGTGTGCACGGATGTTCTTTAGACGTTGGTGAAGGTGTTTGTGTACGCGTGAGTGGGCGTGTGCGTGTGGTTGTTGGTGATTGTGCACGCGCATTTGTATGAGTTTTAGTGCGTGTAAATGATGATGTGTATGAGTGGGCGAAGATACGTGTTTGTGTGCCTTGTGTGTTTCTGAAAGTGCAGCGATTCACATTAAATATGTATTTCTCAAACTTTATGTACACGTTTGAAGAGAGTGGATAATAATCCGTTGTATGCATTTGATGATGTGTGACAAATTATACGCTGACCATGAATCACTGTCCATCACTCTTTCTTATACAAATAGTACATGCTTGCGAGTGTATTAGTTACATTGTCCGTCTTATTGTAATCTAACCAAATGCAATGTATATCACGAATGCACGAGCTAAAGACATGTATTATTTGTTTTATAAGATGGGTTTACAATATGAGTATAAAGTCGTGAAATTGACAGTTGTTATCACCACTAGTGTACTCTCCGTGCATATGGTAAACATTAATGCACGCACGCTTGATCCATTTCGACGCTTTCATTGACTACATTCTTGAACCAATTTTATAACATCCAATAAAACATATCATGAAAAATTATTCTCAATCCTTCTCTCCCGTCAGGGTATGATTGTTCTCTTGAATGTATGCCATGACATTTTCTTTTTAAATATTCAGAGTACAGATGTCCCTTTACGCAATTTGTGTATATATGGCCATGTGGTACCTCGATATTTATTTCTATACTGATGATAGCATTGCCATTTAAAAAAAAACTTTATTATAGATATTATCACAACATAAGAATAAAACAAAACAAAATGAAAATCAGTCAACATTACCAGATTACGTTTATTTCAAACAGAAAATAAACGTTTATCATTGATTTTCGAAAGGAAAGAATATTCTAAAAGCTCAGGTACAAACAAGTCTTTAATTCTAAATTCCACTAACAATTAAATGAACTCTAAATCAGCTCTCTTTTTAATTAAAAAGTCAATCCAGTTCAACTAATTATTTGTGAACAGTTAAACTTAACGAAATTGGTTTAGTACATACACAGAAGGGCAAACTTTCTTTTTAACATTTTATCTTAAAGCAATACTGTACTAGAAGCACTACTGCAAAATCACCTCTAGC